ATGATGAATCTCAGTGGGATAATGCGTGCGCTATCGGCAGCCAGAAAGGGCATGTCGTCTGCAAATGTCTGCATCCAAAATCTCACGTTAATGTGCCGCTCGCTGTGTACTGCCAGGCAAGTGTGTGACCGACTCTTTCGCTGGACGAACGATGACAGTAGAAATTACAGTCAGCGTTTTTCGACGCGCATGGATAGGTGCGCATGGCATATGTAGTGAAAGAGATTTTTCTGGTGAATACGATGAGCTCAGTTTGGAACGAAGCTTGACTGTCTTTGACCTTGAATTCGGAAGCTATGATACTCGATATCATTTGATGTCTTGATACTCAGCACCGCTGTTCCAGTTCTTCGGATATCCCCTCGCAATGCGCCACTTCTCCGCCTTACTTCGCAAGTTCTCGTACACATTCTCTCGCCACCCACCATCACCGTCTTCCTGGAAACTGAACGTCATTCCAAAAGGCCAATACAGCATGTTCTCAACTCGAGCTCCATCCGTGGACTCCAGTAGACCGATAGCGATGTCGAAGATCTGCGGCCGTTTGCCAGTAGTGTAGAAGACCACTGCGGAACAGATACCGCAGAAGTGGCGATAGACATCGGGCGAAGAGTTGTAGTACTTCAACGTACCCACAGCGGGGTTCTTTGCGTCAATGAGTTCGTTGAGGGCGTACATGTCGACGGGGAAGTCTTTGGTGCTATCCTTTCCAAATGATATGGACTTCGTCTCTGCGTACGTCCAGTTAAAGACGTCATTCCCACTTTGCAATCTGCAGCTGTCGCATCCACAGAAGCCGGCTTTGAGCTTCCTGCTGACAGGTTCGACGTTGGAGGGCAGTTCATCTTCGGCCATGTGCTTGTAATCGCCACGCTGGAGGACCAGATCTACCCCGCCACACTTGCAGCGTATCGGTACACTTCTTTCCTCTTTCGCTTTGAGTTCCGGGAGAGTGGAGGATTGTGGCCAGTCTGCAGGCAACTCCTTCGCTCCAGGGCCACGACCGGCTACCACACTTTCATAACGCTTCAGATCCTCCCATTCGCCATTGAGAGCACAGAGCCAAGGACTTGCACCTCCATCCTCCGTGTCGGCCACGAAACCCTGCCCACCAAACTTGATCAACTGGCGACCTCCGATATCAACGTTACCGAGCGCACCAGTGACCACTCCCAAATTCCTGGCCGGATCTTTGAAGGCGCAGAAGACCGGGCTCGAACAAGTAGGGCAGAACAAGAGGTCAAAGCGCTCCCAGGAGCTGAACGTCTTGAGGCCCGAAGTGTCGACGTTGGCGCGAGGCTCAGGCCATGATGTAAGCGAGGTGTGGAGCGAGCCGCACAGGTGCCGACAGGTCGTGCAGTGGCACACATGCCCTGGTAGGGGAAGAGCGGATGCAGGAAAGGTAGTACTGTAGTTGTGAGCGCCACAGAGACATGATGCCGTTAGAGTTACGGTCTCGGTGGAAGAAGACATCGTAGGTCTTGAAATTGGAAACGATTCTTCAACTGCTGCAGGTCACTCTGGCGATGATCCTGCTAGTTATAGGATATCTCTAAATTACTATCAGGATGGATCTCCTTACTTGCTACGTTGCATGTGCTACGCCGCAATCATGACGATGCAAAAGTGTGACCACATGCCGGTGCATGTCGAAGGGCGCGGTGTCGGATTGGTCAGCATACATATGCGGGGCTCGCATTTTCGCGTCGTACCTCGCATTCAGGCTTGGGTGCACAACGAGTTGTTGTTAGCGGCTTGGTTAATATTCATGTGAATCCTGCCGTCGGCTAGATAGCTTGAAGGATCTTTAAATCTTGACCACCCGCATAACATCGAATAGGCCGGTCTTCTGCTTATCGGACATGCCTTCTTTCAGAAGACCAGTTGCATGCTCGCCCTCTCGGCCCCGCTGGTTGCTCACGACCGTTATGTCGCCTCGCTTGAACTCACATGTTCGGCCTGTCATACCCGAGATCCACATCTTCACACTGCGAAAATGAGGGCCATGTAGCAGATTGGTCCCGTATGCAGATGCCCAAGGCGCATCTACGTGCCAGGAGTCCAAACAACCAGGTAGATCTGGCGCGAAGGACGTGACAACGACGATCTGTCGCTCATCTTTTGATGTTCCGGAACATGTCAGTGCTAACGCGCCACTCGGTGATGCATTGGGGCTGTTGACTGCATCCAAGAGCCACCTCAAGTCCCTTTTATGCTCCGAGTTGTGCTTGACGACGTCCCACATCTCTATACCGGTATCCCTGTTGAATTCGGGCATCTTTCGCAGCACAGCAGGTGCGTCCGAATCCGGTATGTTACTCCACAGCGTGCAGCCAAGCAGCGTAATGTTCGTGCCCGGCACGTCGCTTCCCGTCTCGTATAGTATTTCCAATTTCCCCTTCAGAGAAGGCTCTCTCTCCATCTTGTGCGCCAACTGTAAGCCGTCCATCCAGCTAATGCCGTGGAACTCCAGCGGACCGAGAACCAGAAATACCTTCTCATGAAGACCACACCGTCGAATCAGAAACCACAGATACAGCTCGTAGTCTATAAGCCTGCCAATGTTTCCAGCAAGTATCAAGAAGGGCGCCGCGACGGGTACGTGGAACGCGAGGTATTGTGATTCGTAGTCTAGGTTGAGATCTGATAGGACCTGGAAGGAGGTCTTCGGGTTCGAGAACAGGCTAGACAGGCGTCGCAGTTTGCTCGGTAGCATCTTCGCGGGGGCGGTTGTATAGCAAACTAGAATTAGAAAAGGTGCGAACGAGCGTTGGGATGCACTTGACGACTCAAGCGCTGGTAAGGAGACTGAGGGGGTTGTGTGGACTAGAGACAAGCTAACAAGATCAACAACACGCATTAATGAAGCGACGGAGAGCCTGAGATACGAGAGAAAGAGCTCGTCTTGTTGTAAGGGCTGAGCGCGGCTGCGCCATGAGAACCGATCGCGGTCCGCAGCATAGCGGCGCCTGTGTTACTTTCCAACACCATCGGTATCAAAGACGAGCAAAGTTGCGACTGTGCCCATCCTTTCAACCCTTTCGATCTTTGCGGAGATTTGCTATTGGGCGCAGCGCGACTGTGCGGCGTTATGGTGTTGGAAGTTGGTGGCTGTGAAGAGAGATGGCCTTCTAGTAGGGATGGAATTAGATCCCGTCTAGGCCGAGTCCGGATGGCGCGATCTCGGCCCGGCCCCACGTCATCTCCTTCATCCCCTTCTGACCCAGCAGCGCCAGCTTTCGCGACGGCGACGACGGCGGCCTCTACAACCCTCAATGCGTTACAGTCGTCCTGCTGATGTGTGCGCATCATTTGTGTTCACCCGGACTTCTTCGGCAGCCCACAGCGCGCGGATCTGCCTTCTCAGCCTCAACCTCCGAGGTCCACTGGCGGATGACGGGCTTTCCTTCGTGCCGTGAGCAGTCCACACCGCGACGACCGCAGCTGCAAAATGGAGGAACACACAAGCTGAGGTCCTCCATTTGGACAATGTGACCTTTTTACTGCGTCGTTCCTCAACGTATGCGCCAGCACACGCCGACTCCATCGAACCTCGCGACCGATCACGTCGAGTGTTATCCATTGCTTGGAGTAGTCCAGTACCGTCACAAGTACCGGCTTATCAGCATCCTATACCCTCGGCTTGTCATCCTGTACAACCGCATGCGATATATGCGTAGGAAGAAGTTCATGATCTCGGCTTTCATCACGCATGATGAACGATCGACATTACATCTCTGGCAGAAGGCACAGCAAACCACGTGTTTGGTATGCTAAACAAGACGCACATGCAAAGGTAGCCTCTTGTATTGGCATCGAACCATGGCTCGGTACGAAGAAGAAGCCGTGGAGTACTGTGTGTTATCCGGCTAAATGTTACTCGCCTGGCGGCGGCGCCCTGGCCTGCAGCTTACCGGTTCACTGCAGTTGTCTGCCACACGCATCACTACCTGGTCGCTCTAAAATCCGTTCTCGCTCGACGCCTCTTTTCGTCTCGCTCTGCAGTGCCGTCCGCGGCGCGTCGAATACGATCGCCAGTGGTCCTGGGAGTATATGCCCAGATCTACTTTGATTGTGAGGCTGAAGCACTAACGTAGCTCGGTTCCACCATCGACGGGTTGATATTGCGGTCGCAGGATCTACCGCCTGCAACCTGGGACCGACACACTGGCAGCTTCTAAGAATAGTCGTATCACCCGAAGACCATCCAACTGTTCCCTATACGAGCTCGGTATATTGCCTGCGTCTGGACTTACCGGTCCTTTCGGCCGCCGTCTAATATCTCGCGTATTCATTGCTATTGACAGAAGTATGATAGCTATTCAGAAGCAAGAGCGTACTGTGATCTACACCACACAACAGTATACCGAAGCTGATGACCTTTGATACTGTGTAACTGGTACGTTCTTCACAGAAGGATCCGCGAGAATAAGTATCAGTCTCAGCCCCTGCGTAGCCTAACTACTACACGAGATGATTCCAGCTCTGCGTTCAGCTGCACGTGCAATATACTTCACGTATTACGGCAGCATTCCAAACCAATCTTCGCCTCCCGTGTTCGCGTACCCGGTATCCAGGCACGTCTTTCTCACCACCTTGCTCGGTCTTAACCAATCATCTAGCCTCCGATCTTACCTCTTGGCTGTCAGCTCCTTCCTTTCCGGATTCTCGGCCTTTCAGATGGTCTTTCGACTTTACACCCGGATATGATACGATGAAGACGGGGTCATAAGCTCTTGAGCAGCGAGGTGAATGCCATATGGTATGACAGTATATGCAGGGTAAACAGCGGCCTTATCCATCTGCACCCTAATACCGGCGTTCTGGATGGTCAGTGGCAATTATGTCTCAATCTAAAGTATCACTAAAGCGAGATGTACTCCTTAGGGTTACCCAAAGGAAGTCTATAAGAGTCTGAATCCACGCACGATCGTTTCACTCATATCAAGTCGTCCGCTTTGTCACTCCATAGTTGTGCATCATCATCATCATCAAGCAAGATGAAAGCCTTCTCTTACTTCAGCTATGCTCTATTGGCATGCATGCCCCTCACGGAAGCTCACCCAGGGATGGGCGATACCATGGCAGAGATGCGCCATCTCGCTGCCCGTGAAAAGCGACAAGCATCGAAAGAGCTCATCGGCGACCTGAAGACACTCGCAGACTCCAAGCTCACTGCCATCGGCAAAGACATCAAAGCGATCATTCTCGACCAGAAGTCTGCGGAGTCTGCTACCATTGATAACTCCATCCCTGCTGGCAACATCGGCAGTGCCGCCTGCAAAGCCGACATGTGCTGTCATTGGAAGTGGCTCGCGTACGAGATGACGGCCAAGTTCAACGGTACTTCCGGTCGCTGCAGCAAGTTTGCTCGTCAAGCTGTTCGTCTGGGCTTCCATGACGCAGGCGTATGGTCTAAGAGCAGCAGTTATGGCGGTGCAGACGGCAGTATTCTCCTCAGCGACGAGATGTCGCGTACAGATAACAACGGCTTATCTGCGATTGCCGACCAAACGAAGAAGTGGTACACCAAATACAACCAGTACGGAATGAGCATGGCGGACATCATCCAGTTCGGTGCCAACGTCGCCACTGTTGTATGTCCACTTGGACCCAGGGTCAGAACATTCATTGGGCGTAAGGACAATAGCAAAGCTGGGCCTACTGGTCTTCTCCCTGGAGAAAAGGACTCTGCGGATAAGCTCATCAAGCTTTTCCAAGACAAGACTATCGATGCACACGATCTAGTCGCGTTGGTCGGGGCGCACACTACATCGCAGCAACACTTTGTCGACACTAGCCGCGACGGCGACCCACAAGACTCTACTCCCGGTGTCTGGGACATGGCCTTCTACCCACAGACGACAAACCCTAATACACCTGTTCGTATCATCAAGTTTCAAAGCGACATCAACTTGAGCAAGGACTCGAGGACGAGCGCTTCTTGGGCGCAGTTTAGCGTTCGAGGTACTGCTCAGCCTCAATGGAATGCGGTATGACTCGCCAAATACCCGAGAAAAGGACCTAGCTAACACATTGATGCAGGACTACGCTAAAGCCTACACACGTTTGTCTCTTCTTGGCGTCAACAACATCAATGATCTCAAAGAATGCACCAAGGTTCTGCCGGCAGAGCGCCCTACATTTGTTAGTGAAGACCAGGTTTTGCTAGATAGGTGGCTCGCAGGCGAATTTGATCAGCTCAACAACTTGGTGGACGACGCTATCCAGCTGACTGGCGTGATCTCGTCAAAGGACAAGAAGGCTTGAGTATACTTGAGTGTTCAACTCCGTCAATAGCGACTTCTATAGTCGATATAGTATAGTAAATGCATGCCCTTACTTCTTTCATGTTCGTCTCTTATATGTATCCTTAGTCCCTGATTCGTCAAATTTTCCACGTTCACTGATGAAACTTTCCGTGAGTTTAAATGAGCCGCGCAGTCACCGCGTAAAGCTCGCCTATCAAAGACTAGCCGGCACATGCACACACTCACAGGCCATCGCGTTTCTTGCAAACAGACTTTTGACCTTTCCGTACCTTATTATCGAGTCAACATCATCTCTTTCCTCGATACCATTACCCAAATCATCTCCATTCTCGAAACCGATACCCACATCAAGCTCATATAATGACATGCCTCCAATGCCTCAAGGACGCTCTCTTTCCCGACGGCCTTCCACCCTTTCTCGTCTGCAAGATCTTCGCGGACCTCATCAACACACACAACATGGACCTCGAACCAAAGAACATCTGCCACGCAGATCTCAACGCCTACAACACCCTCCTGTCACCTAAAATGGAGCAGGAGTTGCCACAAGTACGCATTGAGCATCTCAAAGATGTCGCTGTGTGGGACGAGCAAGCCGTTGTCAAGCAGATCATGAATCTGCTTCAATATCTCACAAACTGCGAATCACGCATCCCAGACGAGTTCCGCACCACCAAGAAAGGAGAGAAGCTCAAGGATAGCAAGGGAAGGAGTTTGGGGGATGGAGACAGATTGTACTCGTTCGTTGCGGGTTACGACCCACAGGGACAACTGTCGTGGAAAGACCTCAAGAGGAGGTGGAGGAATCTGGCGGATTGCTCGGCGAAGGAGCTATACGACAAGGGGAGGTCGGCGGACATCAGAGAGACGCTTTGGGATGCAGTGGTTGGGGATGAGGAGTAGGGGGAGGCGGTGGAGGACGGTGACATAGACTTCATTGTTGACGGAAGTCTGTAGATTAGTGGCGGCTGCAGAAGACATTGGCATGTATGAATAGCAATGGAAGTATGAAACCCGAGCGCGGTATACCTCAAGCCTGCCACCGACGTTAGGAAGCTGATCAATCATGTGGGCTGATGTGCTGCATGGTCGTTACCGCTGCCCATTTGTGTGATTGTGAGGCCTACAATGTGTTTGCTGAAGTCCCAGATGACCAGTGCGGAATGTCCGTTTGCTTCCCACTAACATATATGTAATCCGTACTCCCTCTTTTCGAGCGTCAGTATCTACGTTACAGAATGCCTGCTTCATCTTCCTACCAAACCATGATTCCTTACAGTGCCGATATCAAATACAAAACCCTCAAGTTTTTGGGTGGAGGTATGGACGGCGTTGCAGTTCTTGCAGTTCCCAAATCTGGTGAACAACATCTGGACTCGTGTATAGCCCTGAAGATTTTGATGGACGACAAGACTACCTCCGTCTCTAAAGAACTGCTCATACAGCTGAAAGGTATGGAGAGCAAAGAAGACCATCTTATAGCCGCAGTGTATGACTACCAGCCCATCGAACATCCTGAATGGCACTGTATGGCATACATACCAGGTTGCAGTATCGAAGAACTACTAAAGAGGGATGACTTTCAGGACGGAATGCCACCTACTGTTATACTCCACGTTCTTTCAGAGCTTATCCGCGTCCAAGAGCATCTACGAGCGAACAAGCTAACCCACACCGATCTTGGTGCGGGTGGTAATGTCATGCTTAGCAACAACGGCAACGATGCATGGCCTTCTGTAAAACTAGTCGACTTCAGCGGGATTCTGTCCTACAACAAGCCCAAGGAAGCACAGAATGTCTTCCAATGTGTCTCGAGCATGACAATGTACCAAGAAGCCGTTCCGGAGGGTTGGAAGTTATCCACCTTTCAGGCCCACGATGTGACGACTGCAGACGAGGTGTACAAGAGATGTAATTGCCTGCAGTATTCACGGGGCGAAGAGCTATTACAAGGGCTGTGGGAGTTCTGTCGCGAGGAAACCAAAGGTTTGAAGCAGCGCTTGAGAGATGATGTGGCACTTCAGAAACTGAGTAAGGTACTCGACACCGCAGGGACTACTGAGCAAGACGTGGAGAGACTGGTAAAGACACCTGAATACACAATGGAAGTGCAGCGATTCGATGCGACTCCAAAGTAGACAAGGAAAGAATCGACTGGCTCCGGCTAACTCTGAGAAACTTTAGTGTTGATACCACAGACACCCTTCATGTCAGCCAAGTCCAAGTATGTAGTAGAATGATCAAGCTGGCATCTTTATAATCGCGAACGATTCCGCAGGTATCGGATCTCATGCGTACGTAGCGGATAAGAGCTCTTGAAGCTTTCCAGTATCGAGTCCAAGTCTGTGATCAGCGTCGTCGCCGTCCAGACTTTGTGTCATGTATTTGCATCCGCCTGACTTCACAGCTATTCTGTGAGGCCTGTCTCTACCCCGGTATGCTGTTTCTCAGATTACTCGCACATACATCAGCGGCGCTATGAGCGGGCGGAGTTGCGAGCATAAGCGTTGAGTAATCGATATGAATATATTGTGACTGGACGGGTAATGCGAGGTTTCGGTGAGAAGCCATCGTTGCCTCGACGATCGTCGTTCACGGGCACCTCCGTTCTTCGCCGCGAGTACTCGATCCGCTTGCAAGATGCCGCCGATGTCGCCTTGTCGAGGAACTTCGAGTACCACAAAGATCCGGAGGCTCAGAGGCTATTGTTATGATTCGTTCCGCTCCGGTCGCGAGATCCAAGATTGCCGTCAGCTGTAGCAGCAGCTCCTAGCCTCTGTGCTACGGCGATGCGCATAGACGGAGAAGGCGACACGCTGTATTGGGAGATGTCAGACGTGTTTGGCGAGATCCTGTTGAGTATGCATGCCTGTCGTAGGCGCTCGTGAAGTCCCGTCACCGCTGCTAGGGATGTCGTCGGCGCCGGGCTTTCTTTTGCCCTGTGGAGGTTTCCCAATCTGCATCTGGCAAGCAGGCCGTCTCTGCGCTGATGACTCTCTTCGCTGATGACGCGGATCCAATACAGCTGAGGAGGGTCGTATGGATAAGACGCAGCTTTGGGGGGTGCATCATGCAGCTCTGTGAGGGCGGTGGCGGTGTTGCTGGGCTGCTCGGGGAAGGCACCTCCAGCGCACGGACCGAATGAAGTTGGTGGCTTCAATTCTCGGCCCCTTCCTCAAGCCCACATACTACCCCAACCCAATCACCCCACCACATCGAGGTTATAGTCTCGGACTGGCTTCTGGCGATGACACATTCCTCCTCTTACGGCAGAGCAGCTCCGCTCGCTCCTAACGTGCCGCCGTAGCATAGGACCCGACCGAGAGCTTGACCGAGAGCTTGACCGAAGCCGCCGAATCCACGCCATGGACCGCCTCGTTCACCATCGCGAGAGAGACCAACAAGATACTGAGAAGACCCTCGAGCTTGTCGAGCTTCCCTCGGATGGCCTTGCGCTGTCGACGTGCGTTGTCAGGCGACGATGGCGCGGCTCCTTGATCCTCCGCCGGCGAGCATCCTGCGGCTCCTACCCCGCCTCACTCGCGGCCTCCTACACGACGATTAGCATACCTGTCTGAAGTTAGAACGCATACCGGGCGCTGGAAACTTTGGGCACAGTGCATCGGACTGGGAAAATTCGGCAAACAATCGATTGCCGCTCGCTACATCCACCGCGCAGCCGGGCTTCCCACGAAGCATTGTGAGCCGCCAGGCTCGCACACCCGTCACCTTGTCTCCGCCACGATACCGCAACGTTCACCTACCTCCGGGTCAGCACAGAGTCAATCGTGTCTCTCAACGGTCTCGGCGCGGGGGGGGGGGGGGGGGGGGGGGGGGGGGGGGGGGGGGGG